TAGTACTAGTAGCAGTAGTAGTCGTCGTCGTTGAAAACCTATTAAGCCCCTATGTTACCTTCTCAGGGTTCACTTGTTATGATGTTCTTACTTAAGTCCTTTATTCCTAAACCCTACGGCAGCCGGGATTTGCATGTTTACGGTGTTACGTTGTTATAGTCTCGATTGTAGTTCCTTTTTTGAGGTTACCTTCTAGGATCCTAAATGCGTAGTTGGATGAACCCCAACAAAAGGAACTACAATGGAGACTAAGAAACCCTAAAACCGAAGGCAGATGAAACCCTAAAGTGTCGAAGGCAGATGAAACCCTAAAACCGAAGGCCGATGAAACGCGAAAGTGTCGAAGGCAGATGAAACCCTAAAGTGTCGAGGGGTTTGAAACCCTAAAGTGTCGAAGGCAGATGAAACCCTAAAGTGTCCCAGGCAGATGAAACCGTGGAAGGCAGGTGAAGCCGAAGCCCTAAAACCGAAGGCCGATGAAACCCGAAAGTGTCGAAGGCAGAAACCCCAGGCCTCGGCCAGGCTGCGGAGAACCGCCCGAGCGTTTTCTCGCTGCAGCATCACGCTGAGCGACTGGAGGAGCTGCCCTCGTTGGCTGTCAGGCCGAGGCGGGCGGCGTAAAGGCCGCCAAGCTCACGCCAGGTCTTGACCGCAGTCGGACCCCAGCCACCCCCAATAGCTTCGGCAACGAGGGGGAACGAACTGCAAGCTAGTTGGCAGCAACCTTCCCCGCATGAAGGGCGGACGAAGCCACAGAGCCGCTCTTGAGGCTGGCGAGGAGGGCCGCGGGCCTCTTTTTGAGCCGTGAGCGTGTAGCTTGCCGTTTTGGGTTTTGGTGTGTTCTCTGCTTCCACTTCCCACGCACTCCCGCTCACTTTTCCATCAGCTTTTCCAGCCGCACGCCGCACCTTCGGCCGGGGCTGTCTTCCTTTCGCCTGACTGAGCCGGGGGGGCGGTTCAGCCGCACCCTAGGCCGGGGCTTCCTCTCCTTTCTTCAACTCTCAAGACCAAAGATCGTAGCTCTCGATTCACGTCTGTCTTGAAACCCTAGAGTGTCGGCAGATGAAACCGTGGAAGGCAGATGAAACCCTAAAGTGTCGAAGGCAGATGAAACCCTGAAGTGTGGAAGGAGTGTCGAAGGCAGATGAAACCCTAAAGTGTCGAAGGCAGATGAGACCCTAAAGTGTCGAAGGCTCGAAGGGTTTCGGGTCAGAAGTGAGGGTTTTTGGGTCACCAGTGAGGGGCAACCTTCGGGTCACAGGTGAGGGAGCTGCCTTTGCATCCTTTTTGTTGACTACAGAGTCTCTGCTAAGGGTTTTCCTCGCCTCCTTCGGGGCATTGGCGCTGTTGAGCTTTGGGAGTAGGCAAGGTTATAGGAAGGCTGAGCCCGTGTGTGTGTGTGGCATCGCACCGAGGTTCGAGGGGCAGATCTGCGCGATGCACCACAGCCTCGAGGCTCGGGTCCGAGAGCCACTGAGCCGGGACTTCTGGTAGCCGAGGCGGCTGGGCTGGAGAACCACGCTGTGGTGCAGGTGGCGCCCGTCACCGAGGCACTCTGCCACGCAGACGCCGCGGTCTGTGTTTTTGGGCGGACCCCGCTGGTTTAGGTGGGACTTGCCTCGGCCTCTTCGGATGGCATGGCCCGAGACTCGGGGACCGGCGCCCGCAGCATCAGATTAGCAGCCCAGCCCTCCCACCCCCCTCTGCCCCTGCAGAGGTCTTCTTCTGGGATGCCCTCAGCGGCAAGTGCCTGGAGTCTCTGAGGCACCGCCGCACAACCGCACCACCTCTCGTCAAATCATCTCCCTTCCTCTTGCCTCCGCAGCGACGGCCGCACGACCGCGCCTCTCTCTCTCTCTCTCTCATCATCTTCCCATTCCCATCTCCCCTTCCTCCTTTCCGCAGCTCTCTCTGCCTCTCTCGCAGGGGCCACCAGGAGAGCGTCCTGTCCGTCGCTTTCTCGGCGTCCGGGAAGCTCCTCGGCACCACCAGCCCGGGGCCAAGCGGGGAGCGGGACATGGCAGGGCGAGTCGGGGAGGGAGACACCCTGCATGCTGCAAACTTGCATCAAATCTTCGATTGTACGGCATGTTACACTTGGCCCTCGGCCCGTCGTCCTGAGTCCTTGTCATGACGATGGGTTGCTGGTCAGTTGGTCCTTAACTGTTGCAGTGCGCACAGACTGCACGCAGCTTCGGGGCATTGCCGCCTGCCTGTGGTTATGTCTTTGGGGGGTGTCGTGGCTCGCTCTCGGGCTTTGCCGGCGCGATTGGCGAGCTGAGAGCTGCACTTTCGCGCGTTTCGTGACCTCAGCCCGAGTCGGCGCGCGCACACGGCGCTCTCTCCCG